CTCCATACCTGCATCCATCTCCCATTCTTCAGAAGTCACTAGAGATAGAGTCTGTGAGTGTTTATTTGCCTTTTGACATTTCCCAGGGCTGTCTGCCCACTCTGGGTGCCTTCTCTCTTAGCACTAGAACCTACATTTCCATTCTGTCTCCTGGATAGACAGTTACCTATGCCTACTGATTAGATCTTTCAATTTAATGAATAGCACTTGCCTTTTCTGTGGGCCATTTCTGTGGCTATCTAGGAAGGCAGGGCCAGGAGAGGGAACTGACTTTGGCATGTGTTCTGGAGGAGTTGTTTTGACTGTCTCATGGCTGAATGGCAGCCTGAGGGAGTCACAAATGTCACTGGTGTGCAGTGGTATAATATTCCTGCTGCTCTGAAGCGTCTTCAGTGTTAATCTTCTCTCATGCCTGGCAACTTTCAAAGTAGAAGTAATAGGCAATTCCATGGAGCTGCGAAAAAAAGATCCTAAGTCCTCATCTGTCTTTGTAAGGACAGAGAAAATTGCTACCGTGCAGTTGGCCTTTTTCATTATTGAGAATGTAGAACAGCTCAATTTTCACCAGGGCTAATTGATTTTCACAGCTGGTGCGGGGACTCTAAGAATGATGTGAAACTTGAAAAGTTCCTTTGTCCAGACCCCAAAGCTCATGGGTCTTACAGAGACTTCAGAAATGGGCTTGGATAAAAATGCTGAAATCTTCTGAAACAACTTTGGGCACCAGCCGGAAAAGTGATGCTTGTTTGTAGAGAGTACTGTGTGAAGAGGTTATGGCCTGCCATATGGCATGACAAATATTCATTATTTCCCCCTTCACATTAATTAGCATTATGTTACATGGAAGAAACCTGGTTTTCACCCCTGATACCAAACAGCTTTTCTGAAATAAGATGTGCCATAGGAGGTCAAGTTTCACATTTCTTTTGCCTCTGTTGACACAGATTCTTATGACTGACTTTAATCAATCTGTTTGATAACTTTTCATGATTTCTTTTCTTATGAAAGGTGAAAGGATGTGAATATCTGAAGCAGAGATTTCATGAATGAGCACAAGTCATTGGGGGAAGAGGGGAAAGGGGGGTATTTTATTACTTGGAGCACTGGAGCAGTCAGATCTTATAATGTTCTCATGCAAGCTGACATAAAATAATCCCAAAGAACACCAGACTTGAGGAAGGTGATTCTTGTTTTCAACCCAAACTTGCTCCAGAAGGGCTAAGGGATTTTAGATGAAAGTTAAGTTCAAAGTCTGGGTCCTGTTAGATGAAAGGTACTTGATGTTCAGTCGTAAGCTGCAGTGTATACCTTGTGTGGTCATCGGAAGAGTTCTTATATTTGGGATTCCATTTATCTTGAGAATGTCTACAAAACACAAAATTGTAGCAGTAAAGTATATCATTAAGACTAATAATGACTACTATCAGAAGCAGTTGCCAGGAAACAAGTAGAGTCTGTAGGCAAAGTCCAAGAAAGTATTAGTCTTAACAAGTTCTCACTTTACATTAAATAAGAAAACAATGTGACAATAAAATGCAATGAAAGAAAAGTGAACATAACCATTAAAATTAGCAAAGTCATTTACAAATGATATTTTTGTAAGATGTTCTCAATAACCTATAAATCCATAGAGAAAAGATGGCTGCCCAACTAACCAGGGCTCAGAGGGGCTTGCAGAGACTGAAGCACCAACCAATGACCATGCATAGACTGAAACTAGGCCCCCTACACAGATGCATCAAATGGGCAGCTCAGACCTCATGTGGAACCCTTATTAAGTGGAGAGAAGACTGTCTCTCCCATGGAGTCTATTGCCTGATTCCTAATCACTCCCCCATAGTGGGGCTGCCTCATCAGGACAAAAGGAAAGATTAGCTCAGTCCTGATTTGACTTAATGAGCTGCAGTGAGTTGTTAGCTGGAGGGAGCTGCCCTTATCTGAGGAATAGGGGAGGGAAGTTGTTGAAAAACAGAGGAGTTGGATTTGAAAGGAGTTTAGAGGAGAAGAAAAGAGAGGAGAGGAGGGGAGAAGAGAGGAGAGGAGAGGAGAGGAGAGGAGAGGGGAGGAGAGGAGAGGAGACAGGGGACTACAATAGGAATGTAAAATCAATTTTAAAAAAATACCTGACAGTAGATGATTTATAGAGTGACAATTCTACTTAGTTTATAATTCTAAAGACTGAGTAGTTAAAGAACACATGATTGACAAGTGTCTCTTATGTTCTCATCTCAGTCAATAGAAAAAAAGGTAAGCAGGCAGGTCAAGAAGTGAGTTAAAAATCATAGAAGACAATCTTGTATTAGAATTTCTTGTTTTTTGTCTCATGTATCCAGTTTTATTTTTATTTATTTTTTTACATTGAATTTGTCAACAATTTATTCTATTTCTTCTAATGAGTGCTTCTACTTTCTTTCTTTTTTAAATCCTTTATTAATTACACTTTATTCACTTTCTATCCCCCCTGTAGTTCCCTCCCTCCTCCTATCCCAATCCATCCCTTCCTCCACCCTCTGCATGCCTGAGCCTCCCCAAGTCCACTGATAGGGGAGGTATTCTTTTCCTTCCTTCTGACCTTAGACAATTAGGTGTCTTCAGAAGTGGCTGCATTGTCTTCTTCTGTGGCCTGGTAATGCTGCTTCCCCCTCAGGGGGAGGTAATTAAAGAACAGGCCAATCAGTTCATGTCAGAGACAGTCCCTGTCTATTACAATGGAACTTACTTGGATACTGAACTGCCATGGGCTACATCTGTGCAGGGGTCTTAGGTTATCTCCATGCATGGTCCTTGGTTAGAGTATTAGTCTCAGGAAAGACCCCTGTGCTCAGATGTTTTGGTTCTGTTGCTCTCCTTGTGGAGTTCCTGTCCTCTCCAGATCTTACTGTTTCCCACTTCTTTCCTAAGATTCCCTGCACTCTGCCCAAAGGTTGCCCATAAGTCTCAGCATCTGCATTGATAGTCTGTAGGGCAGAGCCTTTCAGAGGTTCTCTGTGTCAGACTCCTGACTTGTTCCCTCTTTTCTCCTTCTTCTGATGTCCATCCTCTTTGCCTTTCTGGATAGGAATTAAGCATTTTAGCTAGAGTCCTCCATCTTAATTTTTTTAGTTGTACAGATTTTAATAGGTTTATCCTATATTGTATGTCTATATGAGTGAGTATATACTGTGTGCATCTTTCTGCTCCTGGGATAGTTCATTCAGGATGATCTTTTCCAGATTCTACCATTTACCTGCAAACTAAACTCTAAGTGGATCAAAGACCAACATAAAAACAGACACCTAACCGCTTAGAAAAAAAAGGGGGAAGAGCCTTGAACTCATTGGCACAGGAGACAACTTCCTGAACAGAACACCAACAGCTCTAACAGCAACAGGCTCTAAGAGCAACAATCAATAAATGGGACATCATGAAACTGAAAAGATTCTGTAAAGCAAAGGACACTGTCATCAGAACAAAATGATAGCCTACAGATTGGGAAAGGATCTTCACCAACCCTATATCTGACAGAGAACTAATATCCAGTATATATAAAGAACTAAAGAAGTTAAACAGCAAGAAAATCAAGTAATCCAAAAATTGGATTAAAAAATGGAGTACAGAGCTAAACAGAGAATTCTCTGTAGAGGAATATCGAATGGCAGAGAAACACTTAAAGACATGCTCAACCTCATTAGCCACCAGGGAAATGCAAATCAAAATGACCCTGAGATTTTACACCCATCAGAATGGCCAAGTTCAAAACTTAAGTGACAACACATGCTGGAGAGGTTGTGGAGAAAGGGGAACCTTCCTCTACAGATGATGGGAGTGTAAACTTGTACAACCATTCTGGAAATCAATTCAACCATTCTGGTGCTTTCTCAGACAACTTGGAATAGTGCTTCCTCAAGACCCAGCTATACCACTCCTAGGCATATACCCAAAAGAGTCTCAAGTGCATAATAAGGACATTTGCACAACCATGTTTGTAGCAGCCTTATTTGTAATAGCCAGAAGTTGGAAACAGCCCAGATGCCCCTTAGTGGAGGAATGGATGCACAAATTGTGGTATAACTTGTGGTATAAATTGTGGTATAACAATGGAATATTACTCAGCAATAAAAAACAAGTATCCATTTTTTTTTTGTTTTTTGTTTTTTGTTTTTTTTTTGTTTTTGTTTTTGTTTTGTTTTTTTTTGGATTTTTTGGAAGCCTCCAGCTGTGGATTTTTTTTTAATTTTTTATTAATTACACTTTATTCATTTTGTATCCCCCATAAGCCCCTCCCTCCTCCCCTCCCGATCCCACCCTCCTTCCCCTTTCTGCATGCATGCCACTCCCCAAGTCCACTGATAGGGGAAGTTCTCCTCTCCTTTCTGATCTTAGGGACTGCCTCTGACATAATCTGATTGGCCTGCTCGTTGATCACCTCCCCCTGAGGGGGGAGCAGCCTTACCAGGCCATGGTAGAAGACAATGCAGCCACTTTTGATGAGTATCCAGTTTTAGTAAAGATACTTTTTGTAAACAATTAACGGTATTTCAGGCAGAACATGGGAAGACAATCATCAACAGTATACAAGAACTTCCAAACTTTCTTCTTGTATAGACTACCCATATCAGAAAGCCACAATAAATTCCAATGAAATATGCATCCAATGCTTTGAAAATGGGCTTAGAATGAGCATTGACATTTCACATTAAGGATGTTGTTTACCAACTTTTCAATAGCCAACCTGACTTTTAGGAAATGAAATGAAAATGTTAGCATTATCAGTCTGAAGATCCACAATTTTTTTTATAAAAGAAACCCCCATCTTCTGAGGAACCTCAGTGATGTCACTGTAAAGCCCAGGTCACCCAAAAAATCATACCATAAAACCAATTTTAGGGGTCAGGTTCCAACAGGTCTCTGGTTTTAAGGGGTTAAGTTGATGTTGATGGTACAAGGGGGAGGAGGATACAAAAATGAATTTACAGTTTTCCCATACCACAAGGCATTTTGTGCCATGGTGACCACATATGTCAACACCATGGCAACTCTTCTGGGAGCCAACAGGAGGAAGGTGCTAGAGATGCCAAGTGAGGTGTGTGCATTTCTGATAACTGTGTACTTCTGGCATCTCCAGCACCTTCAGCTTTCTGTGCCTGGTCTGTTTTGGTGTCTCCATTTTCCACAAGATTATTTGTATCCTTAACAACATCAGCTTTCCCCTTCTTCTCCTTGAGTACCTTCTCTCCCATCTTTTCAGGGGTCTTTTCAGGCTTCAGATCTGGCTTTGGAGGAACAGCTTTAGTAGACAACCTTGAATATCCTACTTGTAACTCATCTTTTACCTTGGCATTATATTCTTTACAATCCATTTTCATTTCTGATTTTACTGATTTTGATAGTTTCCCTCTGCCTTTTAGTTAGTTTGGCTAAAGGTTTGTCTATCTTGTTGATTTTTTCAAAGAACCAGTTCTTGGTTTTATTGATTCTTTGAATGGTTTTATTTGTTTCTAGATGATTGATTTCCACCCTGAGTTTGATTATTTCCAGCCGTCTGCTCCTCTTGGGTGCATTTGTTTCTTTTTTCTCTAGGGCTTTCAGTTGGGCCATTAAGTTGCTTGTATGAGATGTCACAAATTTTTTCTTGAAGGCACTTAGTGCTATGAATTTTCCTCTGAGCACCGCTTTCATTGTGTCTCATAAATTAGGGTATGTTGTACCTTCATTTTCATTGAATTCTAGGAAGTCTTTAATTTCTTTATTTCTTCCTTAACCCAGCTATCATTGAGCAGCAAGGGATCTAGAAAAGGTCATTCTGAGTGAAGTATCCCAGAAGGAGAAAGACAAACATGGTGTATACTCACTTATATAGACCTACAAGATATGATAAACATAATGAAGTCTATAGACCTAAAGAAGATAAACAAGAAAGCAGACACAGGATAAGATGATCAATCCTCACTTAGAAAGACAAATGAGATGTGCTTTGGACGTATGACAGGAGTCTACCACAGAAGGCATCTGAAAGACTCTACCAAGGAGCGTTTTAAAACAGATACTAAGACTCACAACCAAACCTTCGGCAGAAGGGGAGTTGGTATGACGTGGAAAGGATAGGAGCTCCACAAGGACCAAATATATCTGGGCACAGGGTTTTTTTCTGAAACTGTTTCTCCAACCAAGGACCATCTATGGATATAACCTAGAACCTTTGCTCGGACGAAGCTCGTGGTAGCTCAATAACCAATTGATTTCCCATAGTAAGGAGAACAGGAACTATCTCTGACAGGAACTCAATGGCAGTCTCTTTGACCTCCCCACCCCCTAAGGGAGGAGCAGTCCTGCTAGGCCACAGAGGAGGACTTTGCAGCCAGTCCTGAAGATACCTGATAAAACAGGGCCAGATGAAAGTAGAGGAGGTCCTCACCAATCCGTGGACTTGGAAAGGGGCAGGGAAAAGCTGAGGAGAAGAGGGTAGGATTGGGAGGGAATAAGGAAGTGGGTTACAGCTGGGATACAGAGTTAATAAAATGTAACTAATAATAATAATAAACAGTAAAAAAAAATTGTTGCAAGGAAAAAAATTCCCTTCAGCCTTTCTTTTGGGCATGATGGTGGCACTGGACAGAGCAATATTGTGGCTCGGATTTGATCCTTCTTGGGGTTGTACTCAGTGCTTCTTCACTTCCACATTATAATTTCTTGCTCTTGCAGTAACTAATACAGTTAGTCAACAGATCGAAATCTCTCCCTATAAATCCCTCTGGAAAACCTGATTGCCTCATAAAGACCTCACTTATAAATACTGAGAATTAATATCCCAACACATAAACTTTACTTTCCATGCTAGTATTTACGCCTCAGCAGGAGTCATAACAGACAAAAATTATGCAGTATTGTATGAAAGTATGTTATTTTATTGTAAGTTAATATAAAAATGTAGCAGAATAAATAATATTTAGAGTATTGGCAAGTGAAGAATATTAAGCTTCTATATAAAAAGGTCAGAGCAGTGGTTTTAAGGAGGCAATGGAACAATGTGGAAATTTACCAGCCATTAACTAGTAGAATTGAGACCCATGATAAAGCAGTACTATTGCATAATCCTAAAGAACAAACAAGTTTCAGTTCACATTGATGCCTTGTGCTCACTGCAGATACAGCTGTATTTCACTTGAGAAAAAGGTCCCCAAAAAGAGGGACCCATGTAGAATGATGGTTAGTCAGTTTATTCCACTGAGAACATAAATCCAGAAAGCATTGCAAAAGGATATTCATATGGAAATAGATCCAACTTTATAATGATGCAAACAAATGTAATTCTTTCCCACTGAATATGCAAATATCCAAAAGCAAAGAACTCTAGAATAATAATAATAAAAAAAACCAGAAAAGATCCAGGCAAAGTCCTTTCTATAGTATGACTCTATTCACTGTCATACCCTCTGGTTCTAAAGACAATTTATGGAATGAAATGTTCCAGTGGTTTGCTATACAAAACATTTCATGATTAGATTAAGTCCGATTTCATTTGTCTGTCAAACAAACTAAGTGCTCATCATGTGGCCACAATTTCATGCTTATCTTTTTCCTTGAGCTATACCTAAAATCAATGTTTTCTCTTTCTTTAAGATGGAGATGGCCTTTCTGATATTGCCTACCTCAATGGGTTTTCATGAGACTTAAATTATGTGCTAGAGTTAAGGTACTTTAAAATGTTTCTAGCTTTGTAAGTTTTAGCTGTCAATACTCTTTCTCTTTGTAAATCTTCAAGGCAAATTATCATGTAAGTGTTTGATAGTGTATTTATATCTCTTCTAATGGGTGGTTGTTCACAAATAGATGACAGTCTTTTAAACTACAGTATTTTAAACTGCATGTTTAAGATAAATCACTAAAAGTATCCCAGAAGGAGAAAGACACACACGGCACATGGCATATACTCACTTATAAGTGAGTACTAGACCTATAAGATAGGATAAACATACTAGGGCCAGGACACTACCATAGTACCAGAAGGCATCACGAGCAACTCACATCAAGCTGATCTTCACTACCCTCAAGTCCAGTTCTTCCTCTTTTCATTGTGCCTACATCCTTAGGTTTCTCTTTCTCTTTCAGTTTTGCCCCCCTGACTTGCCTCTTAGAGACACCTGAGGTCTGACTCTGTGGGGTCATCTCAGGAGCGGTATGAAGAGTGCTATGCTCCTTTCAGGCATCATGGCACCAGGCAGGGGTCATGTCGGGCAGGCCCCACTACCCAGGCCTATGTGAAGCCTAACTGGTGATCCCTTTGTGCTAACTTCCTGTTCATGTGCCGTGGAGCAGGCTGGTGGTTGTCTCTGGCTTGCTTCTTGCCTGGGCCTGCCCGAGTGGTCCCGTGCAAGGGTTGTCTGTCAGACTCACTCCTCCTGAGCCGATGACCCCAGGAGGGGTTTTCTCATAGACTCCAGCTTTCTCCCTACCCTGGGACCCATCTTAGCCTGGTCATAGCCTGACTGGTGGTCATCTCAGTCTTCCTTTTTCCAGGGAGTGTTAGGCTACTAATCCTTCAGATATTCATAGCTCGGAACACTGAGAATAGACACGCTCTCTCTTCTCTCTGCCACTTATTGACACATGTGACACAGCAGCCACACCTGTAATGTCTCTAGGGTCAGTTAGCATTCAAGTCTTTATTTAAAACTTTAAAAAAATGTTTTTATTCAATGTATCTTATCGATACATTTTTGTGCCCTATGGAGCCCAATGGACAACACCTCTTATAGTGGTCTCAATAAGATTATATCTCCTACTGAGTAACCAGTTTATTTTGGTAATACCCTCTAGTATAGTTTCACAATAAGAAAATGACATAATGATGCATTTCTCAGAAAGCATCTTTGATATCAATTGGCATAAGACTATAGCTAGCTAGTCATGATGAAAGAAGCACAAGAAAGTCGATGTGAAGAGTAACTAACCTCTGAAAATAGCAAGTTCATATGGACACATACCATTGTAAAGACAGAGCTACAAAAGGAAAAGGTAGCCACAGCCTCCCCTCTTTTTTTAGATCCTTCAAAAAATGGAACTATCAGGATATGAATGATTCTTTCAAAACTAATGACTATATTTAGAAAATTATCTCTGGAACCTCTATAGGAAGTCACCAATAATCATCAAAAAGAAATAGGTTTCCTGAGAAAACTATTGGATAAAGGACTCTGTAGCCAACCAATAACATGTAATTGTTGAAAAGTCACAAAATCCCCAAGCATACCTATGCACATTGGGTGAGAAAATATCACTTATTTCTTTTTGCTTGATTTACTGAGAGCAGAACTGATTACATGTAAGTACCTGTTCACATAAAAAGTTATTAGTAAACAAGGAAATGAAAATAAAAAAGGTTGAGTACCTTAGGTAAGAAAAATTATGTTAGATATGAAACAAATAATTCCCTGATTAGTGATCAACTATTGTTTTGGTAGTCTAGCAGCTGAGACAGAGAGAGAATTAAACAACTGTAGAATATAAAACTTGTAATTTCATACATGCCATATATTTAAGTAAAAACTTGAACTCTAAAATTTTTTTCACACAAGTCCACCTATGGTAACAAGTGTTATGTATTGCAGCTGCTGCTGTCCCAATCATCACATATATCTAATACCTGCTTATACTGGATACATATACATTATATTACTCTAAATTGTATATACATATATACATTATATACTTTTTAAATTTGCAAAACTTGCTATTAAAATACATTAATTTCAATTATAAGTTGTTGGGGGTTGGTCTGTTGCTTGTATTTTGATGCCAATTACTGTCTCTCAAGATCTGGTTACTTCTGAGATATATCTATCCTTCTGTAAATGTGCCTATGACAATTGTACCTGATTGGTTAATTAAGAAGCCTAAAACCTGGACAGGGCAGAATGGGGTAAGGCTTGGCCATGGTTCCCAGGCTTTGGGAAGAAGAGAACCACAGAAGAACACAGACAGATGGTCAGGAAGAGAGGAGGGATAAGGATGCATGATAGACCAGGAGGAAAGAACCCAGTATTGGGATGTAAATGCCCAGATAAAGAATACAAACAAGTATTTATGGGTGGAAGGCAGCTCAGATGAGCATGGTTAAGGAGAATGGCATTTGATGGGGCTGGGAGGTAGATGGTGAGGTTACTGGATGAAATAGAGTAGATGGAATTATCTGCCCAGCCTAAAGTTTTTTAAGGCAATTATAAAATCTAGCAGGTATCTGTGTGTTATTTGGTTTTGATAGTGGGTTACACAATACTGTGTGATACTCATAAGGCAAATGATAAACATTCTATAGTCTAAACCAGTTTAAATTTACAACAACAATAAGTGAAAACCTATATGAGGAAATGGAACTCCATGAAATTTGCTCATCCTCAGACACTCCATGGTGCCCTGTCTACTATGTCACTTCCTTCAGAAAACTTGTATTCACAAAAATGAGACAAGGTAACAAAGAACATTCAATGAATTCTAGAACATTGACATGTTGTTTATAACATTTTATAGAAGAGCTTACCTCAAACTCTAGGCACAGTTCCAGTGTCACATAGCCACTAGTTTTAGATAAATGACATCTTTTTTTTACCTTGAACAGATGAACTTTACTCTTCTTTAGCTTTTTTATTTATTAATTTTTTATTAATTACAATTAATTCACTTTGTATCCCATCTGTAACACCCTCCCTGGTCCCTTCCCAACCTTTTCTTCCCTCCCTCTTCTCTCAAGACCCTCTCCTAGTCCACTGAGACCTATCACACACAATTTACTGAAATATTAATGAATCTAGAGATAAATCAAATTAAAATTATGCCAGTGAAACATTCCAATAATTTTCTCTAATCTGAAGGAAAAAATCATTGTCTCCAACCCCTTCCACTCTGATGAACCAGTGACAAAATAACATAGCATCAAACAACCAGCATGAAGATGAATTTTTTTTTTGAGGCTCTAGTCTAGTTCCATCTTCGTTTTATCCTAGAATTAGTTACACTCATATTCTCCAGTTTAATAAGTTATAGTACACCTCATAAAAGAATCTAGAAATAGTTCACATTTAGCTACCATCACACAGGTAAGGCTACAAAAATTCAAGACTGAAATCCCTTGACAACAGATCCTGACGAGGCACCTTTTCTTCTAATTAGGGTTAAATTGGCTTTCTATTTAAAAAAAAAAAATTTCTCCTCAGTGAAGAAAGGAATGTTCCCACCTGGCTTACATTATAAAGGTTAAGGCAGTTGGCACACAGGAAGAGGAAGAAGCCTACTGCCTCATCTCTTTTGCTACTTTCTCTGACCAAGTAGCAGAGAATGTTGATTTTTGAGGAGAAAAAAAAAATCTGATTGAGACCTATTCACTAAAATTGATAAAATGCTCCATTACCTCAAGATCAAAGAGAAGTCAAGAAAAAAATTATACCTAAGGGGACCAGGAAAGCCTGTTGAAGCCCTGCAGCAGACAGGCAAGTGACAGACCAGGAAGCAATTGTTGAGCCATCAACCTAACTGCCTGTGAAATCTACTCAGGACCCAGGAGCTGCCACCCGGATAATATGATCTCTAGACCGAAGCACCTGGGACCTGTCAGTCATCAGAGCCAAGAGAATTAAGAGTTATATTATAATTGTCTCCATTTCATAGCCTTAGTTTTCAGTGAACTGGAAAAGTATGAGGCTCAAAACAATTTGCTTTTTAAAAGACCGTAGGAAATAAAAGAAATGATATGATTTTTGTCTTTGTTAAGATGGGAATGAAGAAAAAGTCTATTGAAGGTTCCTAGCAAAAATGTATTTTTTTTTATAATCATTTCAAAGACACCATTCATATCATGACTCTCAATATAACTAGATAATATTATTCTGTGGAAATCTTATATGTTACAAAATATTTTTTACCAATTTTTCTCATTTAATAGCTCATTTAATTTAAATCAAAAAGTGACAGATCAATAACATTTGAATGCGTTTTAAAAACAGAAATTTCTTGACATGATAAATAAGTTCAAATCCAGTAAAGAGAATATGAAGTAGTTCATATTATTTTTATTGGTGTTAGATTTCTTTACTATATTCTGTCCATTTGTTATAAAAGCTGGCCTTCCTGTGGGGTCTCTCTCCTAATAGTAATTCAGTACTAAATTCAATGACTGGTTTTCAAAGCAAGAGAGTATTCTATTGCTATATTAGCAAATTCACCACTTAATATACATGGATGGCTATTATCACTGGAACGCTAAGCAACTGAGCTTTGAGTATAATTCAATGTAGTCATATAGGACCCATGGTTTGAAGTTGCCATTTACAGCTGAAGGAAAAGAATGGACTCTCATGTGATAGAAAGGAAGCTGATTGGTAGTAAGTCAAGTATTATAATCCGTTGACATTCACATTACAGAATATGATTATACGTATGTTCCTTCATCAAACATTCACAATACTCTGTAAGATGCATAACATTGCTGTTATCATATTTTTAAAATATAAACTGTGTTTTGTGTGGAAATTCTAGTTATGAAGACTCGGAGGCATTAATATGGCCTGAAGACTATCACACTGATGGGCAAAGGATATGCTTCACCTTACAATTTAATAACTTCAAGGGTTGCCTTTATCTCCATTTTAGACACAACCATGATCATTGCAATAACTATAAGATCCATACCTCTGTGACCCAAGCTTTGAGAGAAATGATGCTGTTAGCAGACTGATCTTCCAATGACTACCATGCATTCAGTTCTTCCTGGATTCAGCCAGTTGGAATTTCCTAACTCTAACCACTGCCAGATAATACTTAAAATCCTAGGTTTTACTTCTTTAATTCTAGTGGGGTTCATATCATTAAGTATTTGTCATTCAACCTGGAGAATTTTTGGTGTGGCAGCCACTGTACTTGATTTTCTATATATTTCTCTTCTACACAATTCATATTATCACAATTCAGATTTATGGCTTCAAAGAATTCAGTAGTATGCTATTGGCAACTACACAACATAATATAGAGAAACAAAAACATTTCTTGCCATACTAGCTTAGTTTTCAATTTTCTTTTAATGAAGTCTCTAATGCTACGATTTTACAAAGGAAAAAAAAAAAAGCTATGTGCTGAGGAGATGGCTCTGTAAGTATTTTCCATGCAAGTAAGAGGGCTGAGTGTGAATCTGTAAATTCCACACAAAGCTAGAGCAAGTAACCAGCATGTGTCTAGAATTTTAGTGTCCTTGTAGAGTGATGAGAAATAGGAATAGGAGAATTCCCAGAAGCTTAGAGGGTAGCTTTGTCATACATAGATCAAGAGATCTTGTCTCAAGCCAGGTGAGAGGTAAGGACCAACATCCAAGACTGTCTTCTGAACTCCACACATGTTATATAGTAAGACCGTACTCCTAAATTCACAAGAAAACACACACACACACACACACACACACACACACACACACAGAGAGAGAGAGAGAGAGAGAGAGGCAGAGACAGAGACACAGAAATAAAATATTAGAGACAGAGACAGAGAACCAGATAAAGAGAGACAGATTAAAGAATAAAGAGATGAGATTAAAGCATACAATGAGTTATTTAACTGTTACTTCAGGAGGTTCAAAGACATGACATGAGCTTGGTTCTGAGGAAGAATTCATCCTCATATGCAGGACCAAGGAAGGAAAGAAGCCAAGCCATCAGATGATTTGAGTTCCATGGGGTAGGGTTGCTGGTGCAGAGCATGCCTAGAGATCTCACTGGAGGTCTTTGAACATTTGAATGTTTTGTTCCACCAGTTCAGATTAATTAACATAGAAACAGCATTCCTACCCCAGGACAACACCTATCCTTCCCTGTCCAGCAATCAAAAGTCCAGAGCTCTCTCATTTTGTGGAACAACTGTGAATAGGAGGTGATCTGTCACTGGAGGGACTTGAGACTGTGCATGGTGGAAGCCAAGGCCTTGTCAAGCTTGTCTCAGAAGCTGTCAGCCAGGTGTTATGTCTGGTCCATTTACTCTGTAAACATATAAACTGTTAAAGGTAACATTATAGGTACATTTCTGCATTAACACATGTATAGAGCATGCTGTGTATACAAATCCTTGTTATTTTTAGCAGCTGTGCTACTTGTCTCCTTAGCATTTAAATTTTTGAAGTCAATAAAGCATTATTTAATCTACCTCTGAGAGACTTTTTATCCTATTGTTCTTTATGAGCATTTACTTTAAGGTGCAGATTTATATTTTTATAGCTGCTTGACTTGTAAGATTTTAACGTATACCACTAATATATTTTATGTTATTATTTGACACATGATGGAACATTATCAGTTTTAATGTGTAAAAGTATCCCCATAACAACTACTCTTTCCAAAAAATGTGTCATAACAGGACCAGTCTTCTTTGAATTCAATGCATAAACCCATTGAAATTTTGAATAAGTATCAATTGTATGATATAATCGAACACATCCATCTGACAAACTTGCAGGGGATGGGACTACCTTTAGAGTTATTTTTGGCAAGTAATGGAATTTGATTGCATAAAGAACAAGATAATTTTTTAATATATAATTTTCTTTACTTGTTGTCAGGTTTTGGAAAAATTATTTAAACCTCTAATATTAACATGATACTTTTATGAAAATTTGAAACTTCTAATTTGTTTGTATAAATAACAACGTTCCTTTTGACTCATCTGTTATAGTTCAAGAATAGCCACACAAATCACTCAGACATTGATCTCAGTCAGATATTGATGGTTTATTGAATTTATAACCGAGGATTGATCATTATCAGGGACACAGAGGACGCAGGAGTCAAACTGTGACATTAAGTAGTTTTCAGAGTGAGCTTTTAAAAGGAGGAAACCACATCTGATCAGGAAGAATCAATTCCTTTCCAGCCACATTGTGGGTATGCAACTAGAGAAAGCATTTCAGCTGACGTTTAAGTGATTGGCTGGGATAGAGGGTAGGGGGACTTGGGGACTTTCCAGTTCCCTTCTGTGTAGGGTTTTGCAACTTTCCAGCTCCCTCCCATTCCCATGAAAAAAGAACATAGCAGGGTATTGTAATTTAGCTCAAGCAGAACATACATTTATCATTAATTCAGGCAGAACACATATTTATCATCTTATTATTCTATTTCAGCAGCAAGTATTGAACTGTGTACAAAGGACGAGAAAATGGCTCTTCTAGGAAATAAGGCCTGGACATGTCTAGACAAGTCTCAGTGTTGGTGGTCCTCAACAATAATACCTTTTGAAATTTAAACATTGGCTAAGTAATGTATGTCTTGATTGTTTCTGGCTTCTGGCTTTTTTTTTTTTTAGAAGTTTAGCTAACCTTAGATTTTTTTTTTTCCCCCATGAAGTACCATGGAGAGAAAACACAAAACATTTAAATAAAAATCAAGGAACATGTAAGAAAATTCTATGTTCTGAGCTAGCCGTGTTATTTTATGCTGTAGCAGCCAAACCCTGTCTCTCATTCTTGGAATTCAGGTTTTGTTGTTCTGTGCAGGTGGTCCCTTAGCAAAAGGAGATTTCAGGCAACTGGTACACACAGTCTGCCTAGACGATTTAACTTGGTATCATGCATATTAGGCTGTGTCCACGGTATTTGTGGATGGTTTCACTCTGCTGCCGTACATGCGTGGCCTGGGGAAGTGCTCATGCTGTTGTCATCAGCTACTTAAACCTCCTGCCACCTTTGCCTCTGTCTTTTGTTTCATTTGTTTGGATGTCTCCAAGGTCGCTTGCTCATTGCAGGGGACACAGTGGGACCAGAAAAAGCTTAGGAGCATGCTTGTGTTTGTGCCTGAGGAGGAAGCCCCCCCCCCCCCCATTTGTGTGCTCCTTCTGGCTGTGTACTGCAGTATCTGGCAGGTGGGAGAGGAGGTAGCAGGTGCTTTGGTAGGAGGAGCATACCTTTTTGTTTGTTTACCTCCTGGAAGGCAGACTGAGAAAGGGTGGCAGGCTCTGTATGACTGGGTCTTGTGAGCTAGAGGGTGAGGTGAATCATAATGCCCTTCTGGTGAGGGGAATGAAAGGCTTCAGGCTGAACAGGCCTCAGTTTCTATTTCTCAGAACACAAAACTACAGTCCATGGAAACCAGATACAAGAACTCAATAACCTCCCTAGGGATGATGGTGGAGGGCCTGGCTTTGTAGCCCCAGGTTGGGAAGGGGAGGGGTAGCCAATTCTTATAGTCCTCATTGTTTGAGGTTTCCAGGGTTGAGCGCCCTTGACTTCTCTTTCATAATCCTGGGCCACTATGGTCCCACACTTAACTAGTTTGGTACTGCTTTTTTGGAGCATAATATCTGACACTGAATAAGTTTATTGACTTTTCTAGTGTTGTTGTTCCAGTTTCCCAGTGATGTTGTCAGCTTCATCAGAGTTAAAGTCACAATATGCACTTCTATAGAACAATGACATCAAGGTCATATATTTAATATAGAAAGAGTTTAAAATAAAACCCATAGGAAGTTCTCTTCCAAAGCTATAAAATTTTGAAAAAAGCAGTTTTTTTTAATATTACAACCAGTCTTTATTGAAAAGCTGCTCTTTCATAAAAGTTTTATTTGATAAGAATAAAAAGAATATTGACAGATTATTTCTTAGGATTGGAGAGATCTATGGATATAAACAGTATTTCTACCAAATCCCTTGAACAATAGTACATGTTTAAGTGGTGTCCAAATTATTACACTTAAATCAGAAACACTCTGCTCAATTAATAAAATACTCCTTGTTAATTCTTCTTGAATCTTTGTAAAACATCTCAACCCATTAATCTTATCTCTGCAAAATGGAGGCATATATAATTAGCTAATTTTCCACCAAAACATACCAGAAGTATCCGTTCACAAGACAACCAGTCCTTTTCTCTTGATTCCATGTTAGGGTTTCATTGTGAAATGCCTCCACAGGCTAAGACATTCAAATTTAGTCTTCAGCTGCAGCAGCATTTGGTGATGTAGTGTAAATTTCAGTAGCAGAGAATAACAGGAAGGAGTAAGCACCCCATAGCTTCTTTTTCACTATATTGCTGCTTTCTGGTCTGCCCCTCTGATAGTACCATCCATCCGATCTTCTTACCAAAGTTGACTGAATCAAGCTCCATTCAGGGCAAAAAGACTGAAACACTCTGATACTGTGAGCCAAATTAATCTTTCCTTTCTTAAGTTGCTTCTGCCATGTGTTCTGTCCTAGAAAAGAAAAACAAAAACAAAAACAAAACACAGCTAACATTAATATTACATTGTTTATTTCTTCATTTTCTTCTTTCAAAACTATGCAAGTGGTCTCATTGCTTGTTCTGAAACTCATGAACTCTTTTTAAAAAGTTACTTATTATCAATTAATTTAATTATATATAAATATATTTTATTAGAAATCACAAATGTATAAACATTTATTAATTATAAATATGTATATATAAACTATATATCAACACAACTTGTCCTATCTATATAATATTACTTTTGTTCATATGATTTCAGGGCTGAACTCTTGATATTAGATAACTGGGGAGTTCTTCCATGGGGATGGTTATTTCTCTCACTCTCAACACTCTTAGTTGCCTCTCATTCTTTTTCTAGAATTGGGACCCTATGAGGTTCCTCCCATTCATGCTAGCATATCTATCAGTGTTCTTGCTACTGTCTTGTTTAAGCAAACATTTTGTTCAGACTTCAGGGATGTAGGTTCCCTAACATTTCTAGGAGATGTAACCCCACATAGGAATTTCTATTAATCTTGTCCTTTTCATTGTATTATTATTTTAAGTATTAATATTAATATCATTACAGTTAAAAATATGGAACTCTTCATGAATTTGTGTATCATCCTTGATCAGGGGCCATGCTAATCTTACTGATATTGTTCTAATTTTAGTATATGTGCTGTGGAAGTCAGCGCTCAAGCTTGTACTTTAAAATCTCACTACACTCTATGGAAACTTTTATGAGCTCAAGGCTCAGAAATAGTTCTGTAGATATGTCAGCTGGGGTTTGTTGCCACACAAACACTTGTCCTTTAAATTTTGATCAATAATCCTACCAAGCTATGACAGCTATGAAACACAGCAATGTCCAGAATGACATGATAATCATATGGATGCAGAAGTGGCACACACATACTCTAATTTTTTTCAATGAAATTCAGGGATTTTTATTATACATCTTCTTTATCAAGCTAATCTAAGAGGTCAGTCTCCTTTCTAATGTTCACTTCCCATGGCTCCCGCATGCTGGCTTGTGTGATCACATATGTCTCATCAAACCTATTTCAATCAAGTGAATAATAGTATTTTTTTTTCTGTCTCCAAGTGACAGTGTTAGCTATATACAAAAATAACCTTTAAAACACGCTAAATATGGAGAACTATGCAAAGTCTCATAAGTACTTGGGATGGGGAGGTAAAGGGAGAAGTGACTGATAATAAGAAATCCAACCTCTTTAATAAAGGAAAGAATTCCTTACTTCCACAGAGCCGTGGCTTTCTAGCATGCCCCATTTCTTTGCAGCTAATAAAATCCTAACGAGATATGATGCCTTTGCATGTTTATGTTATACTGCTGTCCTTTCTGACTTCTACTCTCCAGTGATCAATTTTTCTCTATTATATGATTCCACTTGGTCAATAACTCCAATTTTCTTTATCATTCTTTATTATACTTGTGAGAACCCACTCTCTTCCTGATTATCTCCCCCAAATTCATTAAGAAGAAAATGGTAATAGAGAGATGGATCAAGTGTTTGAGTAGACAACTCTTCTAGAGAACTGGAGTTTGGAGCTCCCATGTCAAGTGGCTCACAATTGCTTGAAACTCCAGCCACAGGGTTTCTGACACCTTCTTTTGGCCTCAACATACATCTGTATACATGTGGCAACACACACACACACACACACACACACACACCACCACCACCACCACCACCACCACCCCACACACACAAGACATGTTTTCTTGCTTGCTTGCTCCTTTCTCTCTATCTCTCTCACAGGTACATACTCTAAATTCTTTAATCATTATAAAACAATGCATTGGTGTCCTTTTCTAATCTCTCAGAAAAATATAACCTCACATTAGTGCAGGAAAGAAAAAGAATAAAATGTTGTTTGGGTTTGAAATATCATTCAAGAAAGTTAAACCCACCAACAAAGCGTAAGACCTACTCTCTGAACATGTTCAAGTAGTGTACTCCAATGAAGTGGATTCTATTTGTTTTCTTTTTTATTGTTTTGTTGTTGTTGTTGTTGTTGTTGTTTTTCTTTATTTCCCTCCAAAATTAACTTAGTATAACGTCTTTGCAATATAGGGATGTCTTCTCGGAACACCCATAACATTCCACATAGTATAATGCTATTTCTTGCTGGCTGGCATCTGGCAGCTTCTTGAAATAACAAAATGGGATGATAATAAAGATGATGATGATGGAAGTGATGAACAATAGGAAATGTCCTTATTTCCAAACCAGACAAAGAGTTCAATCTCCTATTCAAGTTATTTCTTGATAAGCAGGCTGATCAAAGTAAAAAAAAAAAAAAAAAAAAAAAAGAGAGAGAGAGACCAGGTTTTTTTCTGAGTAGCTTTGACTATCCTGGATTCACTTTGTAGACTAGGCTGGTCTAGAACTCATAGCAATCCACCTGTCTCTTCCCCTATGAGAGCTGGGATTAAAGGTGTGTGCCACCACACCTGGCTCAAAGTAAAATTATCAGTAGTCCTTAATTCAAGAAAACAAATAAAAAATAGTTGGAAATTAGTTGTATTATTTTTTAAACTTGTGATCTTTATTACAAATTTAATGCATCTGTTAATGACAGCTACATACTCATCAATCTTCTGTTTGCTGAGGAATAGTGAATACAGCCAGACTTAAAAACCATCGTATATTCTTATAATAGAAATCTGAGTGCAAATAAATAAATAAATAAATAAATAAATAAATAAATAAATAGATAAGACAGCCTACAGTAGGCATTTTCTCAGATTGTTCCAAGCTATGTATTTGAAAGATGTAACAGTGATCTGCTCAGGACTGTTTTCTGAAGTGGTTGACAGCATTGTTTATGAAGATTAGAAAACATCCTACACCCTTCCAATAACTGTGATCCAAAATAATTTATATGCAATTTCATCACTCTTAATATTTTGAAGATGGGATTAGGTCTGACCGCTCCTAGTGGCTGGAATATGTCTTTTCCCTCCTTCCTTCAAAGAAAACATTTGGCAGAAATGAAATGTACTGAAGAAACAATAAAAGACAGATACTAAATACTACAAGATGTGAAATGAATGCTTAGAGGATAATTTGCAGAACTTGTTGACAAGACATACACATTGCAGTAGGAAAGCTCAGGAACACTACATGGTGCCATGAAGGAGGTGTGTTTCAGAAAGTGAAAGTAGAGGCTTTGAAATGCTATTTTCCTCTTCTCAAAGATAAGCTCAACTTACTGTTCCTATGGAATGGTTCAGTGGCACTATCAGTGTAAGAGTTCATAACCACTGGCTGTCCTATAGTTTTTCTTAATTCTGGAACACCTACCCATAATGCGACTGAAAGGAATAGCTGCTTCAAGTAGAACACAATTTCAAGAATGAAAAAAATAAAAATAAGTCAATATTAAAACACATACTTAGAAAATGATTAATGATAAGTAAATTTAAAGCACTTCCATTTGTTGTTTGGAGGACAAGGTACATTTTGGAAATTTGCTTTCTAGTCCAGTGAGATGACCCAAGAGGTAAGGTAGATGATGTGCAAATCTGATGATCTGAGTTACATCTTCCAAATAAAGGAGAGAGTGCACTCCGTCATGTTATATAGTGATCTCAACATGTATACCTTATCATATGGGTGCCCTCAAACATACAAACACATTTCATCAATGTATGCATCATCATCATCATCATCACCATCATCATCATAGTGGTGGTAGTAGTTGTTGTAAAAATGACATATTTTTAAAAGAGAATTTGTGTTTAATCTCAGGTCATATTAATACAGTGAGAGCAGCCATTTTGGTCCCATGAAGGATTAATATCATTAGTGAGTTAAACCTTAGCCACCTCAAAACTGGGTTAATAGATAAAAACACTTGGTCCCTATTATCTTTCTCAGAGCACATTTCCATTGACTCTCACTTTTTTGAAATATGTCACACATCACAAAAAGCTGTATAAGGGTATAGCTCAGTGCCATTTTGTATCAGCAACAAAGCTAGCAACAGTGACCATTATGAGATTTTGAACCTTGCCATACTTACAAGGGAAAGCCATGTCCATTGCTCACCCCTTTCCCTTCCCCTTCCTCTCCTAGTCTCGGAAGAGACTCTACTTTTTCTATTCATAGACTTGCCAAACTTTTACGATTGCCTTTTTTTTTTCTGTTTTTGGCATAATGTTAAAAAAATTCTTCCATGTGGCAGCTTTGAGCAATACATTCACGTTACTTAAATGTATTCTATTACGTGGGAGTAAAATGTATTTGTCCACTCATTTGATAGATTTTTTTTTCACATTTTAATACTTGTGACTAGTTTTGTTAGGAATTTCCTGAAGTGAGGTGTCCAATGGGATTTGGGTTTTTAAGATTTTCTCCGGGACTAAACTGACTGAGAAGCACATTCTCCATGTTTTATATTTTGAGCTGCTACTAGACCATATTCCAAAAAAACCTGTATTGCTTTATGTTTACCCCAGCAATATAATCAGAACCCTCTCACCTTCCACAGCCACACAGCACTATGTATAGAACCATAATTTAGGAAGCTTTGTGCGTGAGAAGCTGTATCTTCCAAATGCAGTCTGATTTGTTTTCCCCACTGACTACTGGTTTCTGGCATCTCTCTTTGGCAGATTATTATCATCTGCATAACTTTCTTGGAAGGTAACTATGCAAATCATTGTTTATTTTTTGAATAACATGTTTGCGTATTTTTTTTTAAATTCGTTATTGTACATATTTTTCAAGTAGTCAATTTTTATCATGTGCAAGGTATGCAAACACATTCTTCCATGGCTTGGGTTATTTTCCATTTCAATGGCATCAAGTGCAGCTCAAATATTTATAAATATGAGAAGATAAGTTTTGTCTTTTCTTTTCTTTCATGAATTTGATTTTCGCATCCTAAGAAAGAAGTTATTGTCCAAGTTAAGATCAGTTATGCATGTGTTTATCTTTACTGTATAATTTTAACTTATATTGAAAAGTATTTGCTTCATTTTCAATTGATTTTTATGCTGTAAGGTAAGGGCCTAATATTTCTTTCTCATCTATATATCCAGTAGCATAAAACAACTGCTTAATTAGCATATTCGTAGAAAAAGTTGAATAAAGATAATTTGTTTGTGAATTCTTGCCATATTACATAAATTTCAATTTCAGTTTTTATTTTTGTAAAATGGCAGCAAATGTCTGGGGAAATTTTGGTCTGTACTAGGATTTTTAAATATTTTTGACATTATTAATTTCTATAATTTATGAATACAAAATACATATTAATTTATTTGGGGTTGTCTTTGGGGATTCTTTTATTACCATTTTGTGTATTTTAATGAATGGCTCTTGCACATCTTTTGTTAGTTGTTTGCTTAACATTTTTTATTTTGATGATATTGTGAATGAAGGGCTTATAATTACATTTGAATTATGGTTATTATGTAGAGAAATAAAATAGATCTTTGCATACTAAGCTTATATAATGTGCATGTGATGATGCAATTGGTCTGGATAATCATCTGCTGTGAATCCCCTGTTTTCTCTACACAATATCATGTTGTCTGTGGTGAGACGTATGTTGGCTTGTTTCCATTATGTAGAAGTTTTATCTCTGTTTAATGGCTGAAGCTCCATCACAGTTTTAAACAGAAGAAGAACAAATATGTGTCTTTGTTTTCTTGCTGACA